AGACAACCCCGTGACAATATGCGTTTTGTACTGCTGTTACACAGCACAAAACGCATAAAAAGAAAGCGATCGAAGTTTCGAATGCAAATATTAGCAGACTGATCACGTTTTAATGTAGCAAGGATGACAGGACTTTACCAACAACTGGACATAACTGTAACTCTTGCGCATTAAAGCCAATACCATCAAAGTAAAACACTTTTGACAAATGTCAACGGTGAGCCCAAAACCAGCCTAGACCGAGGGCAGCTTGTACCTTTTCTCTGCACAGAGCGATGACGTCAAATTTTCCAAAAAAAAGTACAAAAGGCAGCAGAACAGAAAAATAGCATTATGAGAGTAAGGTAGTAAACGCTGTCGTATCTGAGCATACACATGATGTTTGCAGATTGGAAAAAAAAATACCGCGCAACAGAAAACCGAAAACGCAAGAGAAACTGGCAAAAATTTTCATGATTTGTTTTCGCTCGCTATTGAGGCGCACAGTCCTCATTTTACCTCCTCTTTTTCTGTACCGGTTTTTAGTTTTTAGCAAGCTGGAAAACGCAGTAAGCACAATGAATCAAGAAAGCAAAAAGACCAGATAAAATTCACGCACAAATCCATGCAACAGATGAAAAAGGCTGGCAAGTGCAAGATGAAGAAAGTCGAAAAAACGGAAGAAATTCTGGAAAAAAGCATGGAAAAGTCCTATGATTGCTGTAGTCATGGGTACAAAAGTTTTTTGCTGGAAAATCGCTAACTTGAATCCAGGAAAGCTAGAAAGCTGAAATTTTAAGAGGGATTTTCTCAGTTCATAAACAACTGAAATTTATCAAATTCAGCTTCCAGGCATGCGTGGCTTTCACGTACAGCCTAATTTACATTCAGACCGAAATGGTCTCGTAGAAAGCTAAGAAGTAGTTTCAAAAAGCGATTTTCCACTAACAACTCGATTTTCACAGTGCAGCAGCTGCTAGTAAGAAAATGCAAGGAATAATAGTTTCTTTATTTTTATAATTTGCCAATTTCATGAAGGTTTTCGTTTTGGTCAAAACTTCTCAGAACAAGGATTCAATTCGTTGTACACAGACATCAAGTTATACTCAGAAATGGTGTTTTTTCAACGGACCCAAGAGATACGAAGCAAAGTTTGTTCTCGTACACGTCAATTCGTTTTTGGTTTGTTACTCTTCTACATTTTCTCCCTTCCCCAACTTTCCCCCTACCTCTTCTCTGTTTCTCAGACAATGATTGCTAGGAATGGACACGAGAATTTTGGAGGTTTGGGATTCTAAAGCATTTTCACACGCTAAATAAATGATTGTATCACGCGAGTAGGCTATATTATGAAAAGTATGATAATAACACTGATGTAATGTTAGCCGAAAAAAAAAAAAAAATAGCAACGCGCACCAGACTAGCCGGTGCGATCATGCGTTTTGTGCAATTCAGTCCATCGAACGATTGCCTATTAATGATTTTTACTGCTCTGTACTTTTGTATATGCAAAAATAGTTCAAAAATTGGAAAACAGTTAAAAATCTCACGTACCAGCGCATGAAAGCTGAATTCGAAACCCTGAAGGGTGAATGTCTTTCCGTGACTCCCTAGTTAATAGTTTAGCCGCCAAAATTCTCACGAGGCCGTAGGTAATACTCAACAGCGAGGGAATGCTGAATTTAAATAGGCAAGGTTGAGCGTGGGCAGGAAATTATTGCCATAAAATTTCAGATTCCTAGACCCCGTAGTTCCCGAGATAATAATTTACCCGCAAAAACTTTCACTAGCTCGTAGGTGACACCCGAAACCGCGGGAACACTGAATTTGAATGGGAAGGGTGAGCATGGCAGGAGTTCATTACCATAAAATTTCAGCCTCCTAGACTCCGTGGTTCCTGAGACATTAATTTACCCGTTTCGCGGGCCGTACGAGTTACCCGCGGGTACGAGAAGGCTGAATTTAAATTTGCCGCGTCACCCGTTGGCGGAGAACACTATACGAAAATTTCAGCCGCCTAGCTTTTGTGGTTCCCGAGTTGAAAGTGCGGGGCAAAATGTGGGACACACACACAAACACACACACACAGAGACAACCCCGTGACAATACGCGTTTTGTAACGCTGTTACACAGCACAAAACGCATAAAAGCTGGCCACTGAAGTGATCTCTGATGGCCAGGAGAGACAAAAAAGCTCTTCACTTTTCCTCCTTGCCCCGTCTCCACTTCAATAAGCAGATCCCAGTGATTGAAAAGATCGCGAATTGGACTCACGTTCGTAGGGATGCCCGTACATGTGGACCCAATCATCATCATCATCATCGTCATCGTAGTCCTCGTCATCCTCGCTGTTGTTCTGCTCATCAATGATCTGCTGCTTGCTTACCAATTCCCAATTGTCCTCACTGGCTGTTGCTGCTGACATTTTGACACCCGTTGCTGCTCCTGAAACTTTGCAAAAGCGTGATTCAAGACAGCAATGCACACATTCATTTCGGGTGGC